GATGTGGTGTTACGATTTAGTTTGACTTCAAATGTGAATCATTTGTAAATGTGCGTTTTACGATAAACAAAAATATAAATTTAAACTATTTGAGCTGCTACATTCTTACACACCCTCTCGTTCACTCAGGTCAGCTGACCAGTTGTTTCTGAAGGTCCCGAAGACAAAGCGTAAGCTTAGAGGGGACCGAGCTTTTTCTGTGATAGCTCCCAGGCTCTGGAATGACCTTCCATTGAACATAAGACAGGCCTCTTCAATTGAGGTTTTTAAGTCCCTTCTTAAAACTCATCTTTTTTCTTTGGCCTTTTAGCACAATCTGAGATGTTTTACCTTGTTTTATTGTGTTTGTATTTTATTTTATTATTCTATTCCTGTTTTAAATTTTACCCTTCCATTTTATCATTGTATTGTATTATATAATTGTGTAAAGCACTTTGGTCCTGTTGGGTGCATAAAGTGCTCTATAAATAAAGTTGGTATGGTATGGTATGGTATTTAAAACATTGCTGTAAAGGATTGCGTGAACCACAGTTTAAATTAGGTCTGCTTCATGCCCAGTCATTCATTTGTCTAAATGTTGGCTGACTGCAGCTTCATTAATTAAAAAATCTATTTTAAGTGTTTTGTTTTTAAGGAATGTCTTAAAAAGGTAAATTTTGTATCAGCACATAATAGTTTGCTTTTTGCTTTTTTTGTTCTATGAACACACAGCGCTGATACTCCATGGAGAATTTAAAACAAATAGGACACATTTGGGCCAGACTCAAGTCTTTAAAAGTATCTCAAAAATCACTGCCTGTTAAACTTTGTGCTTGAACAGTTGCACCTTTAATAAAAATAAATAAATAAATAAGCTGCAGAGTCGGCCATGCCCTCACCTTAAAACACTTTTAAACAACAGAACATATAATTCATGCACTGAAAATATTGATGGTCTGTGAAGTGAACGTTTGACTGCCAGGTTTGACGGATCCCCTAAAAAAGCCTTCATTAGCTCTTTGCTGTTTTATTAGATTGATAACTATAAATAATGACTGCTACATGAAACTATGACAATGTATGATTAAGAAAACAGACATTATATTGGTTTATGAAAACTTCCTATGGTGAAAAGAGCATTGAAATACATTGTTTCCACCCCTCACTATGGTTTTAAGTTTTAATGATTGCTGCCCTGATGTGGGGTTGATGGACCATAACGCTGTCTTCCTTATTTCTCTGCCATTTGTGCGAACGCATCTCTGAATTTCACCCTGTGAGCTATAAGCTATATACAGAAAGTACACACACGCACACAGATTCCCTTTAGACTGTAAGATAAAATGAATCTTCATCACCTTGGATAAAATCAGCACAGCTGGTGGGAGAATGTTGATGTTATAGCTGTATGGACTGCATTCATTAAAAGAAGAAACTTGGCCTCCTCTGGGTTTTTCATCTATGCCTTTTGCAGTATTAATTTTTTTTAAATCCTGCAATGGCAGAGCCACTTTAAACAGAGACATGAAAATGGTGCACTGAGTCTTGTCCTAATATTCAGTGGAGAAAGAGAAAATGTTTGTCACAGGAGCAGAAATGTACACATAACCAATTAGTGCTATCTCCCATTTGGATGAGCTGCCTGGTTTTAGGTAGAACTAGATTAGAGCTAAACTAATCTTGCCTTGTAATCTCAAAAACAAGAAGTGAAGCTGTGAAATGAATTCTTGTTTCATTTCTTTGGAACATCTTTGCCACAATCGTTCGCAGATTGCTACAAAGTCTTCACACACTCCTAGTTTGTCTGAGGGAAAAGGCTCATGGAGGAGTGAGCCGGGTTGAGGATGTAATGGAAGAAAGAACAGAAGGTGGGGGCCGGAGGAGAGACCTCGCTGTAACAAGCTTATCTCGCTCCCTAATTCAGTTTGGGCCATCAAAGTGTTGAGAGCCGGCGTCGCTAAGGGCGGTCGTATTTTTTGACCGCTACCTGTGACAGCAATTACAGGTTTCACTTCGAGCATGCCTTTTGTTTTTTTGTGGCAGCCTTGACTGTCTGGATAGAACAAGATTACCTCTGTGGCTGCCACTGGAGCATAATCAAAGCCTCCCAGTATGAGGTGTCATGGCCCTCTGAATCAACTAAGCAACACCTGCCACCATTACCTCCTTGCCCATTTTATTTGAGGGGTTCGTGGTGACGTTGTCATTGAAACTGATTGGTTGCTTTCGTTCTTTAGATACATCACAGGGAAATTTGTCTGACTCCTGCAAATGGTTAAAACAAAAATGAGCTGTCGGCTAAGCACAAATGGAAGTGCATGCAGAATTTAAACCTTCATGAATAGTATATACACAGTAGATGAAGCCTATATGTGCACAAAGCAGGATGTGCATAAATGCATACTGTAACCACGGCGTCATAAAGTGTCCACATGCAAACTTTTGTCCTACTTTTGGTTGTTTGGCTTTTCACAAATGGAGAGCTGGTGTGTTTGATCCATTTAGATGCTTTTGAAAGTGTGAAAAGTTTGCTGTTTTATGCCTTCATATATACACAGTAGGGTGTCAGCATTTAAGGAAGCCTCTACGTACAATATCCAGGGAAACAAACCTTAATCTTCAAATATGTGGTAGAGAAGCTCAGCTGCACCGTTGAAACCCTCTGAAAGACAAAGCCTCTTGAGTGACTTCATGTTTATATCACCAGTATGTTCCGGGGCTTTAAAACAGCCAACAAAGATGTCGTGCAGTGTGCCAGGATTTACTGTGGTGTTCTGCCATATGTCAAGACCAAATCAGAGCCATAAATACCTCACACATTAGTATTTTTATCTAGTAGTTTTATCCTCAAGGAGCACACCCTTTTTCGTGTTTTTTATTTCAGGGCAGCATGACTCAAAATATGCTGGCCTGAGACCAGCCCAATTATTTTGATGTATGGCAGAACTATACTGCGTATTCAGCAAAACAGGGAGAAAGAAGAATCTGTGCTTACATTTCTCCCACGTGCCTCTAAATGTTGCTACTATCTATGTCATAGCCAAATACATTTTGCATGTTGTGTAATCTGAGACTGCTTTCATTTGTGTGACAATCAAGACAGCTTTACAGTGACATTCGAGTTTTTAAAGTCATCAGGGAATATCATTAATTATTTAGAAATTAGGCAGCACGGTGGCGCAACTGGTAGAGCGGCTGCCTCTCAGCGAGCAGGTCCCTGGTTCAAACCCCGGTCCAGGGGCCTTTCTGGGTGGAGTTTGCATGTTCTCTCCGTGCATGCGTGGGTTTTCTCTGGGTACTCCGGTTTCCTCCCACAGTCCAAAAACATGCATGTTAGGCTGATTGGTAACTCTAAATTGTCCCTAGGTGTGAGTGAGAGAATGAATGGTTGTCTGTCTCGTTTGTCTCTGTGTGTCCCTGTGATGGACTTGCGACCTGTCCAGGGTGTACCCCGCCCCTCGCACAGTGATTGCTGGACATCGGCACCAGCGACCCCCGTGACCCAAAATGGAATAAGCGGGTAAAGATAATGGATGGATGAATGGATGGATGGATGGATTTAGAAATTATCATGTGACATATACCAATATACAGCACATAAAGCACATCAAATAGGAAACCATGAACATTTATATATGTTTTAATTAGGGATGCACAATATTGGATTTTTAGCCAATATCCGATGTGCAGATATGTTAAAACTTATTTGCCCAATAACTGATACCAATACCGATTTTTTTTTTTTTCCTTGACCTACTTACAGAGACTACATACTGTAGCTTTCTCTGCTGTGGAATTAAAATACTACATTATTCTGCGTGGTCTTTGTCAATTTGGCCTGCTACCAAATGCAGATGCCAAAAAGGCGGCTGAAAATGATGTAACACCAACTTTAAAAAAAAATTATGTTTAATGTCAAATTTATTCATGACATTTACTATCACAATAACAACACTTGAACAGTCATACAGAAACAGCGCCTTATACATACATATATATATATATATATATATATATATATATATATATATATATATATATATATATAAACAATGCCTTTTAAATCGGTAATTTATTTTGATGGAAGGGCCCATGTCTGATATTTGACTTTATCGCTAATATTGGCCGATACCGATACCATGCTGATAATGTCATACAGCCCTAGTTTTAATGTTTGTTGTTTTCATTTATGAGTATAAAACTTTAGTTTTTTCTACATGCTATTGACTTTCCACTGTGTAGAAATGAGCAATAAGAGCACACAGTCACTTACTCATAATAATGAGAGAAACGGGAGAGTGATGCATCTCATATAACAAGGCCCTTGATCTTTATATTGTGAGCGATGCTCCTCACTAAAATGCCCATGTTAGCTGGCAGTGACTTTCACTTAACTCCTACTTTATGTTGTTGGATACATTATTCATTTGACATTTACTTACTGCAAACCTACTTTGATATAAAAGCTAAACGCTGTGTCCTTGTTGGAGAGACAGCTTTGTGTTCTTGTTGTGAAGCTGCTTTAGGATACCCAACTTCATTTCTGTCTCAAAATATCTTCACTCAGTACTTAAAGAATAAGTTGCATAAATGAACATTAAAAACAATTCATCTGTGTAGCGGTTTTATGTGTTTACTGCTGAGAAACATTGCACAGCTAAATTATTTTTCAACAAATGAGATCCTATTAAAATTTAACCCAAATGGAGCAGTGTGGCTCTCAGAAGCTGCTGCAGCGTGCATTTTCTGTTTTGCTGAGGCGAGGTCTTTGACTTAGGATTGTTGTTCAATATTCTGTGAATAATTGAAACTGACTTGACTCGCACCCAGTGTCTTTATTCAGTAAATCCACCATTGACATCAGAAGAAAAATGACACCGACTTTATTGTCGAAAAGAGGAAGGAAAAAAATTAACACAGTCGACACTTTTTAACTTGCAAAATTTCTCAAGCGAGGAAATTGACCATTCTGCTTGATTTGTTTCTCTCTCTCTCTGTTTCTGTCCTTTTGCATCTTTTAGGTGGACCTGCTTTTGCCGACCAAGGTTACGGGTATCATCACTCAGGGAGCTAAAGATTTCGGCCATGTCCAGTTTGTCGGCTCATACAAACTTGCTTACAGTAACAACGGAGTGCGGTGGAGTGTATATCAGGATCAGAAACAGGGAAAGGACAAGGTAAGCTGCTTCCTCACTCCAAGCTGACTTTGTTTCTGCATATTAATGAGCAGACTGTTCAGGAACACATCTTTATCATTAGTGCCAAAATAAACATAGAAACAGACCGGTGGATAAAATGCCTACAGGTACTTTGCAAACATAAGGATTGAAATATATCTCTGGAAAACAAAGGTAGATATTTTCTAGCAGGAGGGAAAAGCAAACGATGAATGCAGTGACGTGCAGTCAGCGGAGGTAGTGCTGCACCTGTCGTACTAACAATGATAAGAGAAAATACAGTTGACCACTTGATTGTTCTATAAAACTGTTTTATAAAACTGTTTTCTGAATTATTTCAACATTTCAATGGTCAAAATCGCAGAATTTACACATTTCCTGTTCAAACATGGAAGAAATGCGCTGGGTGAGGCGGTGTAGTGCTCTGGTTCACCTCTGGGGGCGCAGTGCCATATGCAGTATGAAGTACGTGTTCGGCGCATGCCCATTGCTGTCTCTCTTTAAATCGCCAATATACATGTTTGATTACACATGTGCTGCACATGCTGATGTTCTAAGTCTAATATATTGAATGAATGTGTGTGACATATTTCTTCTTTCTAATCGGTCATAAATGCACAATGAAAATACACAAGGTGAAGCAGAAATTACCTTGCCACACCGATAGGGGGCAGTGCTGCCCCATCGGGACAATGAAGCAGGTGCAGTCTCTGTACATTCTTCTGTTACACAGAGGGGCAGGGGTGTCGCAAATCAGTACACTCTTTAGTTTTTTGGGCTAAATTGAAATGTAATCTTTTATTTTTGGGTTCATGTGAACATCCGATTCCAGATGAGTCAGCCTCACCTGTCACAAACCTCAACGCACATCACTGGATGAATGGGATTCTAAGGTGAACAGTGGTGGCCCCTGTACAAAAATATTAGTGGGGCAGATATTAATTTCCTGAATCACTAACCACACAATTTTTACAAATTGCATTACATTTTATATGATAAAAATAAGATATATAACACTTAAGATTTATTTTTATTGTTTTGTTGTTGTTTTTGTGCTTGTCGCCTTTTTCCTTCATCCCACGGGTCGAGAATGTGTCTCGAGAAATTCAGTCCGGTCTAATATATGAGAAAAGTAGATGACTCCCACCCCCACCCAAAATGGGGATAATATGACTGCCTCTATGCATGACTAAATTAATTAACACAATTCACAACTGCCTGACACATGAGAGATGTGGTGGAATGAACACTCACGCTCAAAAGAGTTTGGACATGTTAAAAAAAAAATCACTTTTATTTTAAAAAAAGAGTAAAAAAAATGATGTTAGCATCATCATCAATATACAGTAAATAAATGTTCCAAACTGGGATTGAAGCCACAGACATCTGATCACAAGACCACTGATATTACCATAGACTGTAATAGGTCAATCTTATTTAACAGATCTTATCTAGCCAATTCTGTAGTGAGTGATATACATGTATGCACTAGATAAGATCCTACCATGGTATCAAAAATGTACTTGTTTTTGTCAGTCCTTTTTCAATTTTCTCTTCAGGTTCTCTCTGTCTGCTCCAAATGGATCCAAACAGAATTTCTCCTCATCACAGAACGTTTTGTTGCAGCTATTCCTGTGTTTGAGCTCACATCAGGTCAAGTCTTGGTGGTTGTATCAATGCACTAAAACCAGCCAAATGTGTCCACAGGGCAGAAAATCTGACACCCCAAATGAAATTCTATTGGAGTTGGCTGTTGGGATCACTGGCGACATGCTCCGATCCACTTGATGAATGCGGGTCTGTGAACAACACTGCCCCATAACAGTAAATAAGTAAAAAACTGGAAGTGAATCACTAAAAATCGTTTTCAATTCATCATTTATTTGAAAACAACACACAGCAAGCTCATTAAATGAGTAATATACATTATTTATTGGGAGGAATACATTTGTTACCTGTCCCAATGCATCACCACTGGAGGTGAACACAAATATAAAGCGGCAAACACACGCACACAAAGATTTGAACTGTGAAGATGTCCATTTTGAAATGGGTCTGCATCTCTTGTTTTGTTTTGTTTTTTACCACATTTAGCATCTTTTTAATCTTTGGTTTAAACAGAAGCTACTTGGTCTGTTGTCTTTCCTCTGCTTGGTTTGAGATCAGATTAAACCCTGCTGTTCTTGTTTACGGGTCTTCAACACAGTTTACGTCCCTTGCAGATGTCCATGATAGCAGAGACGGTGTGAAGCTGCTGCAGGCTCTCCTGATAGGAGACGAGCAGGCACAGGGTTTCTGCTGAACCAAAGCCTCTTGTCTTTCATATGCTATTGGCATGAGAGGTGGTGTTTGCCTTTCTCTCTCACTGTGATATTAAACGATAAGCCCTACTTTCTGCTTATGTAATGCTGATGTCCTGACTGCGGAAATCAAGAAGCAAAGTTTTCACACTCCCATGTGATGTGCAATTATAATCTACAGTGTAATTTCAGTCTCTGTGTGTCTTGTCTTTCTGAATAATTCAGATCTTACAGTAATCATCATTTTGTTAACTTTTGGAAACTGAATAAATAAATACATGAAAATTAAGTTTTTATGAAACTGTTTAAATGTGTAAAAGTTCCTCTACTTAATTGGAAGACTTCTGTTCATGCATAATATTTTCTGGCAATCTGGAGAGATTTTTGCACAGATAAATCTGAGTCATATAT